AATCCCTTTCCATTGGGAAAAGAATGCTTTTCTGATTTCCTATGCCACTATTGTCAATCCATCAAGTTTTTGAGGAAGTTGATCTTAACAAATAGATAAGATCATTAAGGGTCTTGTCCATAGTATGTTTCATAGGTTTCCAAAAGAACTCACTATGTGACTTAGAAAGTGATTGAACCACCAACTTTCTCAAGACTTTGACACCCAACTCTCCCAGGCTTGTCAATATGTGACTACATCTCCAAGATGTGACCACACCAAGACCTTTACCTTGCCAATAGGGCTCAAGTGACCTTTAAATTTTCAAAACTTGTGGGTAGGGAGAATAATTGGAGGAGGTGAAAGAAGTATGATTTCCATTGGACATCATCTTCATTTAGGAAAGTTTGTTTTCAAGAGATTTGGGAAGATCATAAATGTCTAAACCAGACATGTTTTGGGAGATATTCAAGATAGTTGATCTTAAAGTCCTTAATATGACACCCAATATGAAATATTAAGGCTAGGACCCAACAAACTATTTTATAACTTAGAAGAGGTATGCCGTAATCCAAGCTATAAACAATTTGAAGGTAGGTGAATGACGATTCACCAATTTCCACCAAGATAAACGAAATGTATTATTAGGTTTTAATTGGTTTTGAAACTCCTAGATCTTTGAGATTCATTGAACTGTTCAATGGCATGTTTCAATCTCGAGTGTGCCCTTCAGGTTTTGTGACTGGGATGCCGAGGATCACAAAACAAGGTGTGAAGTAACCATGCAAATTACTTGGTACCCTTAAGTGTTTACCCCTCAATCGATGTGCCGGTTAACCACACACGCTCCATCGATACTATGATAAACATTAAGTTACCCTTTGCCTACCTTGTTAAATACGAGTTAGTGTGCCGGTTAACCACACACGCTCCACTAACCGACTTAAACAAAGTGCAAAGTGTAATTTCATGGATTAGCACCTTATTCACATTTTCCTAAGTAACTAAGATTGGGTATTATTAAGAGTTTAGTTACTTAGTATTTATCATTAATACTTTTAATGAAGGGAGAATTATAGTCCTGTCAAACCCGTTCGGCTAACGACCCTCCACCAGTCAAGCAAGCGGTGGGTGAGAGTGGACACCCATTAAGTTGCCATTTTATAGGCAACAACCTTATACCCACCTTATAGACCGGCTTCGTGAATGAGGCGTACTAGCGGTAAGACTGACTTTACTTTTATACATATATATATATATATATATATATATATATATATATATATATATATTAACTTATAATATTATAAAGTATAAGGGTTGAATTTTAACTTTTAAAATTCTAAGGGCTAACTTGGAATTAAAGTATTCATAAGAGAAAACTTTACAAATTCCAAAACTTGAGGGCAAGTTTTGAAACTATTCAAAACTAATTAATTCCATAACTTATGTGTTTAAAGTAGTTTTAATCCAAAAACTCTTCAAGTTCCATAACTTGAGGACAAGTTATGGAAGACTTTAAACTAATAAAAGAATTAACTTTTCTTTATTTTATAACTTATGGAATTAATTAAGGTTACACTTTTTTATTTATTTATTATTTAATGAAGAGACTCTTGGTCCTCCATAACTTGAGGACAAATTATGGAGTCATAACTCCAATTAATTAGAACTAGACTCTTCATTTTGTAACCTTTGCCAACTTTTATGAGTTTTATGAAACTTAAATGTGACTTTTCATATAACTTGAGGACAAGTTACAAAAACACATTTTAGAATCAACTCTTAGATTAATTTGGATTGAAAACAACTATTTCACTCAACTTTTCTATTAATCTAAGCAACTCATAAGAACAAGATAATTCAAATCAAACTTTTTCATGTAATTAGTCTAAACCTTTAAACTAATACAAAACATGAATCTATTGACAATTATCTTGAAATTGGATTAGCATGAACATTACCACATCAAAAACAAGTTTATAAGTTCAAAAACATCTTAGGGTAATGTTCCTAGTCCAATTCCAGCCAAAAAGGTCGAATTTATGTTGTCTGGGGGTCCAACTCGTCGAGTGCACTAACCAACTCGGCGAGTTGGATGCTTTTTGCCTTGGACTCGTCGAGTCCCTTCATGGACTCGGCGAGTCTGCTGGGCAGACAACAACAAAACTCGATTTTTCAGCTTCTATTGCAAGTATAACAAGAAAACAAGCCTTGGCTCTGATACCACTGTTGGGTTTTGAGCATTCTAACACTCCTAAGTGTACATTCAACCCTAAATACCTTGGATCTATGTTTTCTCTATTATACATGCAAATATCAACTTTCCAAGGTATTGTACTATTCTAGCATACAAAACTTTGAATAACACAAGTTAGAATAACATACCTTTTGTTGGTGCTTGTCTTCATGAAGCTTGAGTGCCTAGTGCCCCAAGTGTGACACCTCAAATGGTTCACACAACACCATAAACACTTGGAACAACTTAGAGAGAATTCTACACTTCATGAAATCGGCTAGCCCTCTTTAGAATGATACTAGTGGCCGATTTTGTCAAGAATAAGATCTTTATATAGTGTTACAATTAGGGTAAACCCTAATTGTCATGACTTTCCATTTCCTTGGATCCATGGGTTCAAATACACCATGGAGCATCCATGGACCATCCTATGGGTTTTAGCCCAACTTGATTATCCATGGAGCATTAGCCCACTATACAAGTATGGATGATTTACACAATCCACCCATATATTTAATTAGTCTTCTTTTGATCACTTAATTAATCCTAGATTAATTCTTGATCAATACTAATTAAATAATCTCATTATTCTTATTATTAATATACTAGAACTTATAATATATTAATAACCATAAGTGTCTTATTTCTCTCATTATAGTCTATCCAAGTGCATGATGCCATGCAACCCAAATGGACCATGCCGGGTCGAGTCAAGTCTTACCAATTATAGTTATGGACTTAGACATTAATCCAACACCAACAGCCCTTTACGTTAATATTATTGACATCAGTCAATTGGGTTTCTTGTATACCCAAGAATGATATGTCATTCTGAACTTTGAGTCTTCTTACCCATTCGGTTTTGTAATCGTCGCCGAATATTAACACTGAGACAATTCATTTGGGGATATTCATCTCTCCATTTTTACCCATAACTTCTTGTAGAACCGGATCCCCTATATCAATTTGGAACCCTAGGTCTTTACCGATTGCCACAGTTTTAGCTTCCTCCATAGATGTTATGTTGGAATCGTCTTCCTTTTTACCTTCAAGAGGTACCATCGACTCTACCAGCTTATGATGGGGTTCAACTTCCATGTGGATGTTTCTTTTCCTTTTCCGATGAGACAAACTTGCTGATGAATCTTGCAAATTACTAACACCAACAAGGCCCGGAGAGGGGAATGACCCAAAGCAGTCCATAGGGTGTCCATTAAGCGACCCAAAGTTTTTTTACTGACCCACCTGAAGTATTGTCTCCTATTCCAAGTGAGTATAGTTGTACTGTGGACCCCATTCCAACTTCATTACCGTGTCTAGATTGATTGTCGTTACATTTTCCGTTATTTTCTCAGGGTTCGCATGTGACACTTCCACTTCCTTTCTAGGGACTGTATCCATGTTGGCACAATTTTCAGGCGACTGTTGAGCTTCTAGTATGCCACCCCCCATCAGTTGGTGCCGTCCCCGGCGTTGCAGGTTCCACTGATGATGTGACTTCCACCGGCATCGTGTCTTTCGCACGTCTTGTGCCGTTATCCTCCAATATGACTGTTTCTTCCACTTTTGTGCCCTCTTCACTGTTGTTCTCTATCCAGATTTCACCTTCTTCTCTCTCCGTTTCCCCCATCTTCCATGTTTGTATCTGAGACTCCTTCCTCATCTTCATCGACGTCATCTTCCTCTGACTCTGATGACTTCTCGTAGAAATCAGAACTCGTATCCCACTTAAACGGGACCCAGTATTCTTCACTGTTGGGCTCACCAACACTCCTGCCGTGTTCATGGATCTCATGAACTGCGTGTGCATGCTGATGTTTTTCGGTCTGTGATAGTTTTTCGGTATGTGATAGTTTTCATTGGTTTGTTCGAAGACACGAGAGCAACATGAGGAGCACTTGCGGGAGGTTCTAGATACTTTAGGGAGGGAGAGCTTGTATGCTAAGTTCTCCAAGTGTGAGTTATGGTTGCACGAGGTGCAATTTCTTAGGCACCTTGTCAACTAGAATGGGATTTCAGTTGACCCGACCAAGGAGGAGGTCGTGATAAGATGGGAGGTTTCGAGGTCTTTATCCGAGATTCGGAGCTTCCTGGGACTGGCAGGCTACTATCGGAGATTCATTCAGGATTTCTCCAAGATAGTTGTGCCCCTGATCAGGTTGCGAGGAAAGCCATGGTTTTTTCGTTGGGGGCTTGAACAGCAGCCTGCGTTTGAGACTTTGAGACAGAGATTGTACGAGGCACCAATCTTAGCCCTGCCAGAGGGCATGGAGGATTTTGCAGTATATTGCAATGCGTCCATCTCTGGTTTGGGCGTGGTATTGATGCAGAGAGGGCATGTTATCGCTTACGCCTCGAGGCAGTTGAAGTCTCACGAGGCGAATTATCCGACACATGAGTTGGAGCTAGGGCTATTGTGTCCGCCCTCAAGATTTGATGTCATTACCTCTATAGGGTTTGTTGTACTATTTACACGGACCATAAGAACCTGAGGTATCTCATGGACCAGCCAAATCTGAATATGAGGCAACGTTGGTGGCTTGATGTGGTAAAGGATTATGATTGTGAGATTCTCTACCACCCCAAGAAGGCCAATGTCGAGGCCAACGCGCTTAGCCACAAGGAAGCGTCGATCGGAGATGTCTGTATGAGGATGATAGTTGTGACTCCACTATTGGAGCAGATTCAGGAGGCCCAATAGGAGGCCAGGAAGGAGGAACATCTGAAGAGCGAGCCAACTGTGGGTCAGCTTTCCTCATTCGATTATGATAGTCGGGGATTGTTGACTCTTCACCATAGGGTGTGGGTTCCATATCATGGAGGTGTACGCTAGATATTGTTAGAGGAGGTGCACAGATCTAGGTTTTCTATCCATCCCGAGGCGATGAAGATATACAAGGATCTTTATCTTAATTATTGGTGGCCCTGTATGAAGAGGGATGTAGCTTGGTTTGTGGAGAGGTGACTGACCTGCAGGAAGGTCAAGGCTGAGCACCAGAGACCTCACGCCAAGGTCCAACTGTTGGATATCCCATTGTGGAAATGGGAGGATATTACTATGGATTTCATCACAAAGCTTCCCGAGACCGTGCGGGGAGTGGATTCGATTTGGGTCATCATTGATCGATTGACCAAGAGCGCCCATTTTATTCCGGTTCAGGAGAGCATTTCGGCCGAAAAGTTGGCCAACATTTATATCAGTGAGGTAGTCGCGCGGCACGGGGTGCCAGTTTCAGTGATTTCCAAAAGGGATGTACGATTCACTTCCAGGTTTTGGAAGAAGTTTCATGACGAGCTGGGTACTCGTCTGCATTTTAGCACCACCTTTCACTGGCAGACGGATGTTCAGAGCGAGCGGACCATCCAGACTCTGGAGGATATGCTGCGAGCGTGTATTTTAGACTTCAGAGGTAGTTGGGATACTTACCTTCCTCTAGCATAGTTCTCCTGCAATAATAGCTATCATACGAGTATTGACCGTCCTGCTTTCGAGATATTGTTGGGAGGAAGTGCAGTGTAACAGCCCGGATTCCCAGGTATCTTTACTTTCATAATTTTGATATTCTGTGAGGGGACTCGGAGAGTTGGAGGTCGAAATCGCCGAGTCGGGTCGCGGTTTTGGGCGGAGGTTCGCGTCCGGACTCGGCGAGTCCAAGGGATGGACTCGGCGAGTCCACGCTGTTTAATGAAACCCTAATTTCCCGGTCCTAAGCCCTATTTAAAGGACCTTATGGCCTTCATTTGCGGCCACCTTGAACCCTAAGTGCACCCATACGACTGTGAGCCCTTATGAGTGTGATAATAGGCCATTTGTTCATCATTTTGTGTATTATTGCAAGAAAGGAGGGAGAAGATCAAGCTTGAAGAGTTAGGGAGCTTGGATCTGCTTCTATTTCATCAAGGGAACCTTCTTGAGGTAACTTTCAGAGCTAAACTTCGTATTTTGGGTTGATGTGTCAAATCTAGGGTTTCTTCTTGCCTTATTTGGCTTAAATTGGAAGTATGAAAGGTCCCATGGAGATATGGAACCTAGATCTGGACCTTAGCAGGTCCAGGAGGCCCCATATGACAAGCTTTATGTCCATTCTTTTGAGTTAGAAGCTAGGGTTGCCATATTAGAGGTTATTTCTCCAAAATGAGCCTTGTATACGTTGCATGGCGACCAAGACTGAGACTTTACGTGATAAATAAGCTTGGGAAGGCCAGATCTATGTGTGTATGGAACGGATCTGACCCCAAAGCCAGTTTTAGCTGATGCATGGCATGGACTCGCCGAGTCTGAAGAACAGACTCGACGAGTCGCTTGAAGATTGTCCTTGAGACCACCCAGTGTGTAGTCCTGCCGAGTTGTGGGTGACTCAGTGAGTCGTAGAGAGTTAGAAAGGTGTTGACAGGTGGACCGAGTCAAGTTGGGACTCGCCAAGTCGTCCTTGCGACTCGGCGAGTTGAATCGCGGTGGCCCCGTGATTCAGGCCCAGGTGGAACTCGTCGAGTCGGGGGAGTACTCGACGAGTCAAAGGGAAAATCCTTGCGAGTTGGTTAAAACGCGTAGACTCGCCGGGTCACTATAGTGCACTCGCCGAGTCCGGTCCAATTGACCAAAGACTGTTGACCAAGTCAACCTGTGTTGACTTGATATGGATGGTCAACCTTAGTGGTACAAGTAATAATTATAGATTCATGATATCATAGGAGGATTACAGCTCGAGGATTCGAGCACGAGTGATTCCAGGGTTCACGATTAGCGAGGCATACGAGGTGAGTCTTCTCACTATACTATACCCGGAAGGGTTTGACTGTGTGACCGGAAGGTCGAATATGATATGAGATATATGTCTTATGTGTGATAAGTTATTCGTTATATGTGCCATGTATGATATGCTTGATTTGGGCCAGAAGGCGTGGTCATATGGATCGTAAGGTTGACGTGGGTAGGACCGGAAGGTTTACCCAGTCGGGACGGAAGTCCCCTGAGACACATGGACCGGAAGGTCAAAGCTTGGAAAGGCGTACGTGCGTAGGTTGTATTTTGGGGAACTCACTAAGCATTTATGCTTACATTGGTTGTGTTATGTGTTTCAGGTACTAGCGAGGACCGTGGGAAGGCGTCGGCGTGATCGTACACACACTCGGGGAAACCATTTTGTGATCGTTTGTTATGTAATCGGTCGTGACTAAATTGTTACATTGGAAGCTAAACTTATTACTCAATGTTTTGATGATTGTAAAAATGAAAAATTTTTGGTTTCGGAATTTATGACGTCACATGCAGGACCCCAAATGCTGGGGTGAGGTTGGTTAGAGGGTTATGGGGAGTACCAAAGTGGTAGTCAAGACTACGTGAGGATCCAACATGTACGGAGCAGGCTTCAGGCTGCTCACAGTCAGCATAAAAGTGATGCCGACAAGCGTCGATCAGATCTGGAGTTTCGGGTCGAGGATATGGTGTTCCTGAAGTTGTTGCATTGGAAAGGCATCATACGATTTAGGAGGTGGGGCAAGTTGGGCCCCAGGTATATTGGACCCTTCATGGGTATAGCCCGAGTGGGCAACATGGTATATAGGTAGGATCTGCCAGCCGAACTTAGTTAGATTCATAGCACCTTTCACGTCTCTAGTTGCAGAAGTGCCCGGTAGATGAATCGGCAGTTGTGCTTTTAGAGGATATTCAGGTTAATGACAGCCTGAATTACATCGAGCAACCAGTAGCAATCCTTGATAGGAAGTCAAGGGATTTGAGGCACAAGAGAGTGGAGCAGGTAAAGGTGCAATGTCAGCACCGCAAGGGCTCAGAATGGACTTGGGAGCCAGAGGACGATATGAGGGAGCATTACCCTGAGCTTTTTCAGGACCCAGTAGCAGACTTCGAGGATAAAGTCGAAAATGAGTGGGGAAGATTTGTAACACTCGATCCCTGATATGCTTCCTTTCAAGTATTTCTTATGTTTTTCTCTGGGACTTGACGAGTTGGTGGCCCAACTCGTCGAGTTGAGTCATGATTCGCGGGGATTTTAAGTGACCTATTTGACGAGTTGGGAGACTGACTTGGCGAGTAGGTGTTGTTTGGGTGAAACCCTAATTTTGAGGGTTTGTGCCCTATTTAAACAACTTATCTCAGCCTCCACAATCCTTATTACTCCCAGAAAGCATTATCTCGAAACCTAGCCTTGTGTGAGTGTCCTAAGGCCATTTTGGTGCATTTTGGTGCATTTTGGTGGATTGTGAAGCTTGAAAAGAGGAAGGAAGCTTGAGAGTTCGAGTTGGGCTTGGGGATCCAGAGATTTTGTTCCATTTCTAGCTCATTCAAGGTAAAATGCCCCTGTCTTGGTCTTCCATGTGTTTATTCATCCTTAGGGCTTGGATTTTGAGTATCTTTAGGACTTTCTAAGCCATTTTCGGATTTGTGAAGAGTTCTATGGAGTTTTGACTTTAGATCTGGGTCATTGGAAGGGTCGCATGGCATAAAGGTGCCAACTCTATGGCCATGGGAGCCCCATGCTCTTTGTAGAACATATTTTATGGCTTTTTGAGCTAACGATCCCTTGCATGTGCACCAAGCTTGGAACTTTACGTGTAAAATGGACATTAGGTGGCCACATCTATGATTTTGATGTGTTAAGACCCAATTAAATCGACTGTATAGTAATGATCAAGGATGGACTCGGCGAGTTGTTCTTGAACTCGTTGATTCGGGGTGTAATGACCACTAAATCCTTTCTGTCAATGGAGCAGATGAGAGTGTGGAAGGTCCCTCAGTTGTTTAGGCTCATAAGGGACCTGGGAATC